ACTTTACACCCTCTGCAGAGCACGCGTTAGCTTGGTGACAGGGTTGTCCTGCAGTCTGGAAGGAGGGGGTGAAGGAGTCTAAGCCTGGAATCACTGGCTGAACTGTGAGTCAAGCTGCGTGTCCCCTGGTCTGATGGTGAGGAAAGAGATCCTAGGCCTGGGCAATGTCAGGCAGATTTACCTTTTCACCCTCCGACAGCTCTGCGCAGTTTTAGCCCCTTCAGGATGGTCCGGTTTGCACTAGATCAAACTTTCAGTCAGTCTTCTTGGTGGCAGAAACTGCCACCTCTGGGGTGAGGCGTGTTTCTTCGGAGCCTGATCCCTGTGGCTGCTTTCTTCTGCAGACATGGAAGACAACTCCTCAGGGAAGGATCAGACATACGTTGGCAGGCGTTCCAGCCGTGTTGTGCGCTCCCTCCAGAGCAGTAAGTAGTAGAGCCCATTTTCTGTCCTTGTCTGAGCTGTTTCTGCTCTGTGCCCTTTATGTATGACCTGGGTGTGGGCAGTAAAGAGCAGAACCTTGTATTGGGGCATATCCTGCCAGTCACTGGGCCCTGTGGGTGGGGGGGTATCAAAGCAATGGGGATTCAGGCACGTGCTGCAAGGCTAGCGTTTAAATTGTATTTTCCCAAGTGAGCTGTGCAATGGAGATAACCCTTCAGTGTGGTTATGCTTTGAGGGGCACAGCCCTTACGAGTACCTCTCCCTGCCCTCTGGAGGCAAGCTCTGAAGGTGCTGGTCAGCCGCAGCAGTTGCTGTGTGCGCAGCTTCAAGCTTTCCTGTTTCACACCTTCACAGTGCAGAAAGTAGTAGGGTGGTGGTGCGGGGAAGCGTGGTAGGAAGGTTTCATTTGTGTTAGTGACCTGATCTACTTGTTTCAGCCCCATCCCTGCAGTCCCGGCACTGGGGGTCCCCTCAGCAGAGGGAGGAGTCGCAGAGCCGAAGAGCGGAGGAGATGAACCAGCCTCCCACCCCTCTGGGTCTCCAAGAAACCATCGCAGAATCCATCTACATTACCCGCCCTCTGCTCCACCGTATCCTGCCCTGGCTGCGTGGGGGCTCATGCCATACGCGGGGTGCCGGCAGAGGGTGCTGCGGGCTCGGCTCTGGCGCAGGGCAGTGCCGTCCCAGGCTTCTCTCTCCCTGCTGCTGCTCTGATTAGGCAGGGGCCTCGGGACTCCTCCCTTCTCTTATGCCTTGATGGCTAGCTTCAGCTGCTGGAGTTGTGGGTGCAAGTCCTCCAGCCCCTTCTCTGGGCCCCCCCAGCACTGCCTTAGAGTGTATTCTCCTGGGCTCAGCAGAGCTTTGCTGGCACCCAGGGGATCGCTTGTCTGCGTGCCTCTTGTTAGGCACCTCTGGTTCTTTCCGTTCCTTGACTCTGCGTTCCTAGTATTGAGTTTAGGAGTGTGGGGCCAGAGATCGTGGAAACCCTGGCTCCTCTCAGCAGTCCTGGACATCTCTAGGTCAGTCTGAGGAAGAGTCTTTGCGGGTGCTTGAGGTTGGTGGTGGCTGAGCATCAGACTTCCCCCTGCTCCCCAGTCCAGGGCAGGCCCTACTGAGAGAAATACACACAGGAACTGGGCCTGGTCTTTAGCTGGGAGGTTGACACCTTTAGGTATCTTCTGCAACACTTACGGTGCTCCCTGTTCTGAGCTGGTGCAGCCTGCTCTGTGTGGAGCTGAGAACGGAGGGCATTTAGAAACCCACTTTCTTTTCCCCGCTGGCTGCTGTTGCCGTGAGTTAGCTCTCTGTCTTTCTCCTTCCAGTTTGAGCTTGCTGAGTGATCTGAAAGACTTGAACAGGCGAGAGCGAGCAGAGCTGAGGCGACGAACCATCCTACTGCTGTACTACCTGCTGAGATCTCCTTTCTATGACCGATATTCAGAGTAAGGGGCCCCTGCTGGGCTTTTGCTGAAAATTTCCCTTTTAAGAGGAATAGTGTCAGGGGACTGGGTGAGTAGATCTGAAGAGGTCTGGGTGCCTGTGACCAGTTTAATCTGAGCCCTTGCGTAACAGCTGCCATTGCTGTTCATGTGTTCAACAGCTGGGGCAGGAGGTGTCCCGCTGGACTTGTTTATACTTTTTCCCTTCCTAGGGGCAGGATCCTCCTCCTCCTGCGCTTGTTGGCTGATTACGTGCCCGGAGTTGGCTTTGTCACACGTAAGTGGGCCCTGCTGCTATATCCCTGTTTCTGTTGGGTGGAGAAAAATCAGGGGAGTTGAGCAGAACGTCTGTCAATTGGTTTCCAACCTGAGGAAGGAATTGGGAAGTCCCTAGAATGGTTAGCACTAGTGCACCCTGTATTGATGCTTGTGTTGTTTTAAACTGGAACAGGAAAGGATGAATTGCTCCCTGGCTATTGGAGACCTGTGCTTGACCACAGTGGTAAACCTCCCTGTGCCCTCCCAGGCTGCAGAGCTCTGTCTCCTGGGCTCACTTTTTGCACCTCAGCTGGTGCACCAGAGCCCTGCTTTGCGGCCCCTGTTTTTGAACTCTATTCCTTCATCCCCAGTCTGCAATGCAGACACGAGGGGTAAACACGTGCCTAGAGGTATTGACCCAGCCAGGAGCTGATTGTAAATCAAAGGGCTGAACCAGGTCTGTCTTCTCCTAGTCCTTCACCAGAGGATCCCTTTATTATGGGCCAGAATTCCACCACCCCCTCTTCCCTGCTGAAGTGAAGCCTTTTATGGAGTGATTCGTGGCAGTGATGTGGCATTAGATCAGCCTGGCATCGTGGGATTGGCCTTTCTTTGGGGAGTTCACAAAGCTGGCTAGCTCAGGAGCCGCTTCCTCCAGTTAGTGATTTCAGAGAGGCTTTGGAGCCTGCATTAAGCCATGTGCTACATAAGCATTTTCATTCTACAGCAGTTGCTTCTGTGTCTGCACCTGCTTGTTATTGCTGAGTTGTCTTCCCTCTTTCCTGTGCCACAGCAGTGTCCTCCTAACTTGCTGCATGCGAGTTTTCCCCTTGCGCATTGTAGAACCCCCTTCCCACTGGAGCTTGGATGTGTCAGCTCTGAGGGAGTGGTGTCCCGCACCATGGCCACGCTGACCACGTTCCACACCCTGCTTGGTCCTGCTCTAATCTCTGGCACCTCATCCCAAAATTGTCTCCCATCTTGGCAAAAGTAACTGTTCTATTCTTGCGTTCCTCTGAGTTGTATAACTGGAGATTTGGGATTGTTGGGTATCGTAACGAGAAAGGGGGATATACCCCGTATACATACAGCTTCAAATTCTTGCCTTTCTACATGCATGATCCCTCTGTTCTCTTGTTTCAGGGCCACTGATGGATTACTTGCCTGCTTGGCAGAAAATCTATTTCTATAACTGGGGCTGATGAGAAGAAGATGATTATTCTCTGCTAACATCGCGGCTGGACATTTCTAAGGAGGGCAAGCAGGCTGGGGGAGGGATGTTGATAATGTCTAATTTTCAGTTAAACCATCAGTGAGAACTCCTGTTCTGCAGGGTGGGGAGGGGTGTGTGTAACTTTTTTAACAGATCTAGCTGTGAATGATGGACACTACATGTGTGGAGAGAGCCTGGCCACCTCTTTCTCTGGACCATTCTGTGGCTGCAGCGATGGTGATGGGACAACCTCTTTTTTTAAGCACTTGATTTTTCTCCTTTTGTACGGCTGCACTATAATAAAGCCAGGCAGCATAGTGTTTTTTGGAGAGCATTGTCTCCCACCTCATGGCGCTGACATAGACCTGCAGCCTGCTTGTGTTGGCCGTGCCTGGTCAATCTGCTTGGAGCGGGCTTGTCTGTCAAATAAACTGACTGAATAGAAAGAACTGAGCTGAAGGACCTCTCTTCCCCTGTTTGCCTGGGATCCTCTTGTATCTGGTTGCCAGCAGGTCTCTGCTGGAAAGAGCAGCTTTTGCAGTTGTCTACGCTGGGATATGCTGTCCCTTAGAAGCCTTTTGCTCTGGCCTGTGTCAGGCAGGGCCCCACATGTTGCTAAACTGATGACTGTAGCCTCTAACTCCAGGTGCCTGGTTCAGTCCCCAGTTTCCTGGGGTTCCCCTGGGGGTATGGAGAGCTGCAGTTTGCAGGCTGCTTTCCTAGCACCTAATGTGTGCTAAAAGGGTTTGTAGAATGGCTGCCAGCCAGTGCTCGGGGGCTTGGCCAAGGGCAGAGAGGAGCAGAAATGAAAAGATTAATTCAACAAATACTGCTGTGCCACACTTAACAAAGGGCCCAGGAGAGGCCTGGACAGCCATGGCTGTCTTTTTGTATCTGCTTTGCTAATTGGTGGACAGTTGAGGCATCAATCTGCTCAGTGAGCTGCTGTGGAGGCTCCCTTGGCCAGGACAAAGGGGTAGCCAGCTGGTGGCACTGGCCGGGGGTGTTGGTCTCAGGCTGGTGACAGGAGCATTCCTACCTGAACCACCCTTGAGGGATTCTGGGGCTGCAGGGGTCACAGCCTTCTTGCCTCAGCACTTGAAATAGGGGATGTACCCACCCACCCCCCTAATGGGCCACTGCAGTTGGGGACCACAGGGTTTTGGCAGGGGGGGGGGGG